ACACTTTTGAGAAAACTGTATTGTTTGTCATAATAGTAAAAATAGTGTGAACTGAGTTTCTTAGTTGGTGACTATAACAGTAGCACTGTCAATTGATACTCACCCGAGTAACCAGAGTCTTTCTCCGAGAAGCGCGAATCACATCCATTTTTTTTCTGTTCGGTGTGTGCTCTTGCTCTAGAGGCCAAAAGGGCGGCGTTGTTGCTTTTGTCTTTAGCATTTTTACTGGCTGGACGGGAGGTGCGTTCCCTCTCTCCTACACACCCTTGGGCATCTCCTCTCGGTTCCTTGGGCATCCCGGGCCCTGAAAGCATAGAGACAAAGCTGGGCAGACAGTGACCTCAGGCAGAATATATTTACCCATTTCTAACATGGGGCATGGAGTTTGTTCTCAAGGTCCTTACATAAACATGTTTGATCAGTAGCACTGATAAACTGAAGAGTTTAATTCCAAAATGCCACATTTATGCCAACAAAGGGTGAACTGCGGGAAATTCTCTTTCAACGTTTGTCTAGGGGAGAGTTGTTTTTTAAATTAGGTAATACAAATTTTATTTACAAATCCAAAAATATTCATAATAATAATAAATGAGCTGCTTAAAGGTTATAAGAACACTTAATCTACAGGAAGTGTATGTAAATTCAAAACATAAGGCACTTATTGTGTCACTAGTCAGTTTTACGGAACGAGTTAAGCCTTTTCTGTCATAACAGTTACAATGTATTCAGAGCTTCTGTACAAAATATAGCCTTTCTCTAAATGACTGTACACCACAAAGAACACAAAACACGCCTGAGCATTAAGTGATTATTAAAGTGACTACACACATACATTATGTATATATGTACACTCTGAACTCACTGCTAATACACAATTATTTATTGCAATCTCCAGTCTGTGCCATGTGTTACACGTATTTGAACCATATTTTCAAGTTAAAAAAGCAATCAGGCAAGCACTTGAGCGAAGTACTCTACAACTGAAAAAAAAGTATATTCTCATTTACCAACATTTCAGACATGCAGAGATAGTTAAAATAGCTTTTTACGAACATGTTAGCGCACATAAAAGGCATTTTATAAAAGGTCAAAAACACTTTAACTACAGATCGGATACAATCAACTCTAAATTCTGACTGGATTTATTCTGCTTGCCGGTGTAAAATACTGATAAATGCTGCCATCATTGCTCATTAACACTCATGAGTTCTGGAACATTTGCCATGTGATCTCTTGTCAAAGGCAGAAAAATGGGAAAAATCCATTCCACTCCATTTTTATAGCCCTAATATATATATATATTTTTTTTTTTTTGCCATCATGGTCAAAGTTATATTTTTCTAACTTATTAGTTGGCTAGATAATTGTTCATTCTGATTATCATTATTAATTTAACTATCACTACTTTCATAAAAATGTCACCATTTTTATTATTTTAGTAGGCTATTTAATAGCCTACTGCTTTGTCATAATGCTATTCGTTTTATAAAAGCAATAAGCCACAAGATCCCGTACGTTACAGTGATTTTAGCCTTTCGTTTTGCTTTAGTGTTTTTTTGTTTGTTTTTATCAGTCCAGAAATGTTCTACATTGATTAAAGTCTCAAAGAACCCGAATAGAATACACTGTCAGGGGATCTCAGGACCTTTGTAACAAAACAGTATTATGAGCACACAAAAAAAAAAGTTCTTGGTAGGTTTGTGACATGAATTATATATGCCAGGAGGAAGGTTAGACACACACACACACACACACACACACACACACACACACACACACACACAGCTCTCAGGTAGGTTTGTGACATGAATTATATATGCCAGGAGGAAGGTTAGACACACACACACACACACACACACACACACACACACACACACACACACACACACACACAGCTCTCAGCCCTCCCTTCCCTTAATGTTATGTAATACTACAACAACAGCCGATCTCAGTCTCAACTTCCTCCTGTTCACACCACTGACACCCTCAAAAGAACCTGCTTTTACCACCTGCATAGACAACCTTTAAGTGCAAATAACGATGGAACCCTGTCAGACAGATAAAGTATCAGTGCAAATGGGCAAAAATAAGCACCTACAGAGCAAAAGACAGCATTTTGCAGGGTAAGTTAAATATTCATATGAATATGTATATGATTACAACATCAGCATTGCCTACCTTTAGTAATGTACAACACTGATCCTGGTCCCGAGTATTCGGCTCTTCTTCGTCCAGGGTAGCACACACTCCTAACTACCTGTCCAGGGGCAATCTGTACCTCCCGTCATCTCGCTGACAAGGATGATGACCACCCGGCGTGACCGAGCCACGTTACTTTTGCCTGCACTTTTTTCTGGTCGTCTCCAGCCCCTTCTTCAAAATTCCAGACTGACAACTCCACCTGCAGTAAGCCCCGCCCCACATTCTTGGGGCACGCCCATTTGTGTGGTAAGCACGCAACCGGACCAATAGCGGTAAAGAGATTCCACCTAATCCCGCCCCAAACAGCAGTGACGCAGGGGAATGAGTGGCATGGCCAATGCTGTGATCAGGCACGTGGAGAGGAGGAACGAGACGGTATGACAGGCCCTGGACAACACTGACACGAAACATAACAAGAGGAGGAGTGGCGAAGAAACGACGTGTTAGTGTAACTACATTCGGCTGGCCATGTGTTGGCTATTTTGTAATCCTGACCGCTGACTACCTGCTGAGCCAAATACAGGAAGCGTGACCAGTTAACACTTAGTGTGAAAGTATCCAAAGTGTGAATATTGCAGCTTTTATGCTTTATGTAAGCTGGTGTCAGTCAAATCGCAAAGGATTGTCAGATTGCTAATTCAACGCCATGTGACCAAAAAAAATTTTTTTTTTTTTTTGGTCACAAATTTTTTATTTTTTTTTGGTAACAAAATTATTATTTATTTTTTTTTGACAAAGTAGGTGTGAGTTGTTATTGGACACCTAAAGGTTTTAGGTTTGAACTCCAAAAAGCCATTAACATGTACTCTTAACAAGGGACAGAAGTGCTGCTTTTAGCCACATAAATCACTGCTTGCAGCATAATAATAATTTATTATGTTACATAGTTTGTTTGTTTTTGCCATGAAGTGTTTAATCCATTTTATTGCACGTGATTACAGTTATAATATTTGAGCTTTATCTGATTCGAACAACACGTAAAATCATTGTAGAATTATTGAACATGTTAAATTAACTCAATTAATGTAGAGGTAAAAATCCATATCAACAGGCTATAGTTATATCTGGTTGTTGCTGACAACTCCACCGACTAAATCATAACGGTTTTTATGTATTTATTTATTACTCTTGACTATCATTTATGAGTGCATTTAGATTAGAAATGAACATTCTGGCAATTAAAAAATGGCAACTGATGAATGAAAGAATATGATAAGAATGCAATGTGCGAAACATAATGGCAGTCAAGGAAATGTGCGCGTCAGACTGAGCCATGGAGCAAAACTCCCGAGAAATCAAATCTTCTCGAGCCTCACACGCGCCTCTAAAATGTGCCAGAGCTCGAGCGCTCAGCTGTTCTACTACAGCGCCACGTGGTTCTCGCAGGGCGGAATGACGCGGCGCGCTGCTGTAAGCCAATCAGCAGCGCCGGGTGTGTGCGGACATGTGAGGCCGAGAGTAGAAGAGCTGCGCGCACATGTTCGGTACTGAGCACAGACGCCCGGTGAAAACTGCTCGCTTTTCAGGTGACGCCATAAACAGAGTTGCCAAGTCCATATTTTCCCACGTAATTAATTAAGGCACTTTTAAACCATTTTCGTGATTTGAGGGTTTAACATTTTGCACACAACGTAGAATAATGATTTATTAAATGTATCAAATGATTATGTTTGACCGGACATGCAGATCTGGCAACCCTGCCCATAATGCCCCTGCCCTGAGAGCGTCATGTGATAATTGGAGTGCACTGAAACATGTGCATGAAAGAAAAGGGGGGGGGAAAAGTTTCATTTAATACATTGATGTGTGGAAAGGAATATAATTTCCACTGCAGTTTTCAAAAGCAGACAGACCCGTTTTATTTTTTCGCAATTTCCGTTATGGCAAATAGTGGGGAGAGCCGAATCTTCAGCCGGAGCCTTCTATTTTAGGCCAATTTAGCAATTGTGAATGGTTTGTGTGTTGGAAAGCAATTTTTATTTACCGTTTTCATAAAAGCATTATTTTTAATCATTTTATTTGTATGCATTTTTTCGTTACAAGGATAGGATCATACCATTATGTGAAAGAAAGAATATAATAGATAGCGAGTGTTGTGGTAAAGGCCAGGCACAGGCACACAGAGCGACAGCACGTTGGTTAAGAAGTTAGGAAGACACTGCATTGTTGCAACATCGGTCCCCTCAGAGAGAGTCTTCTCAAAAACAGGACAAATAATCACAGAGAGGAGAAATCGCATCAGCACATCCAAGCTGAGGCATCTCATATTTCTGAATGCCAACCTGCACTAAAGACTAAAGTGTCTTAATGTTAAGGCTTTTACCTTTATTTGTTTGCTGTGGTTCTGTGTTCAATTAAAGTTTTATTAAAATGTTAAATGATAATTGTAACGAAAAAAAATGCATAAAAAGGCTTTTATGAAAACACTGAATAAAAAAAAATCGATTACCAACACACAAACCATTCACAATTGCTAAATTAGAAGGTGAAATAAATTAAATAGAAGTGATACTAAATAAAGAGGCACTTGGGAGCCAAAAGAGCCGGCTCTTAAGGGAGCCGAGCCAAAAGAGCCGAATCTTTGAAAAGAGCCGAACTTCATCACTAATGGCAAGCTCAGGACTGACAGCAGAGAAAAGAGGTCAAGCACAAACGTAACACTCCACCCCTAGTGTTTCAACATACAGTGGATTTACAGGATCACATTTGAATGTCTATTAAAGGGTTCTTATGATGCGATTTCAAGTTTTCCTTTCTCTTTGGAGTGTTACAAGCTGATTGTGCATAGATAAGATCCGTCCTAAACATTTCCAGCCCCATTTGACCTCCTCACTGGTGTTAACAGAGCATCACGTCTGAGGGCACGACAGGCCCAGTAGGTCAGGGGCGGCTTTCAGGGCAGGGTGCATGCTGACATGGAGGGTTTGTATAGTGGAGAACTTGATGTAAGTGGCACGGGTCTCACGAGCATGTGCTCTCGCTGCTGCAATGGCCATGATCTGCATTATACTGAGGAGAGTTGCTTCACTGAATCAGAGATAGTGGGATGGGAGACAACAATAAGATTGAGCTATATTTCCAATCGGTTTCAACATTTCTGCTTTTTAAATTGTGGATTTTAATGAGTTTTAAGAAGCTTACTGCTTACTTTGGGGCTTACTGTAAACACGGTCTTTACTGTTTTTGATCAAATAAATGTAGTCATGTCTTATCAAACCCATAAAAAATTTCTGACTGATAGCGATCATTGAGGGTCATTGTGAAAGTCCTTTTCAACAGAATGCAAGTTAAAGCTCAAACACTCAGAATTCTCAAATCAGTCTGTAACAGTTCTTGAGAACAGAACTAAAGAGCTACTTGTCCTGACCTTCCTATATGGATACTAGAGACAATGCAGCAGGCCATCTCTCCATCAGGAGAAGGAGCTTCCTGCAGGACACTGCGGGCCAGACGGAGGGCAGCACCTACCAGCTGGTCAGGCAGATACACCACACATTGCCCCTCCAAGAGCAAGAGCTCCAACAGGTATCGTGCCATCCAGACCACCTGAACAGAAATGATTTAAAAGCATTTTTTTTTATTTCAAGACCACACTGAGACAAATAAAATGGACAGCATAAACATAGGCCACTTTGTTCAAATATATATATTTTTAAAGGGGTCATACGATGCGATTTCAAGTTTTTAAAAGTAGTGACTAATTGTAGTGAATTTGCCATTGTAGTGCACTTCAAATCTTTTAAGTATTAAAAAAAGACTTGCAGATAATGTAAAAGTGATATAAAAGGCCACTTAAAGGGATAGTTCACCCAAAAATGAAAATGTTATCCTTTACTCACCCTGTTACAAACGTTCATGACTGACTTCCTTCTGTTGAACAAACAAAAAAAGATTAGATCTTAAAGAATGTTGGTGCCAAACAGTTGCTGGTAGCCACAAACTTTATCGGATTCGAACAAGTAAAATCATTGTAGAATTATTGAACATTAAATTAACTAAATTAATGTAGAGGTAAAAATCCATCTCAACATGCTAGTTATATCTGGTTGTCGCGGTTTAGAACCAATACACTCCACTGACAAAATCATAACGGTTTTTAATGTATTTATTTATTAATTACTCTTGACTATCATTTATGAGTGCATTTAGATTACAAATTAACATTCTTGCATTTAGATTTTCACGAAAAAACAACAAACATTCCAAAAAAAAAAATAAAAAAAATAATTCACGTTCAACAGAAGAAACAGAGGTATGGAACAACTTGGGGGGTGAGTTTCCATTTTGAGGTGAACTATCCCTTTAAGTGTATTTTGAGAGTACACTTTCGTGACTATTTAACTTTAATTGAATGACTTAATACATTTTAAAACTACTTATAACAATCATTTGTTGGGCTTTGATGTACACGTTTTGATAGGTTGGCTAACATTCTACATGTAAAGTACTTTAATTGTAATAACACACTACAGTTATAATAATAATAATAATAATGTTAATATATTTAATATTTTAGTGTACTAAATTTCAACATTACCAACAGTATCAAGTTCATGTTTCCATTAAACATTGGTTTTAACACTCAAGTACCTCTGGTAACAGACATTCCTCTTTTTTAGCAGCCAGAAAAAGGCAAACCACACCCAGTAACTGCAGGCCAGAGATGGACACTTTGAGCCTTAGTGCTCGATTCAACAGGTGCACTGCCAGATACAACGTTTCCTCTGAGAACTGAAACACTTCCTGAGGTGAAAACAAGCATTAATCACAAACTTAAAAACAAATTAAATTTTTAGCATAATATACACTACTGGTCAAAAGTTAGTAATTAAGATTAATAAAATGTAAAAAAAAAAACAAAAAAAAAACATTGAGAGTCTAATGCTCACCAAGGCTGCATTCATTAGATTAAAAACACAGTAAACAATATCATTAAATGTCCATTTAAAAATGACGTTTTCTATTTGACTATTTAAAGAATAAAACGGCAGCCATTACTCCAGTCTTCAGTGTCACATGATCTTTCAGAAGTCTTTTTAATGATTTGTGCGCAAGAAACATTTCTTCTTATTATTGAAAGTTGTGCTGCTTAATATTTGAGGAAAGCATGAAACACTACCAAAGTATTGGGGTCAGTAGGACTTAACCTTATTCAGCAAGGACAAATTAAACCAAAAAGTGACAGTAAGTTTGTAATGTTACAAAATATTTTTTATTTCAAATAAGTGTTCTTTTGTCTCTATTCAAAGAAAACCAAAATATTCAGCTAAGAGCAGTTCTTAACACAAGAACCATTATTAATGAAGCACCAAAAAAATGATAAAATATCAAATCAGGATATTAGAATAATTCCTGAAGGACCAAGTGACACTAAAGACTGGAGTAATGGATACTGAAAAGCCACTCACGGTCAGAAACGGAACAAAGAGGTCACGCTTACAAATCTGAATATTGCACTTACATGGACTTGAATTAGCCAGTCCACCAAGATAGCTCTCGTTGTGTCACTGAAATGCTTGGGCAGGTCAGCGTTTGGGAGAGTGCATAGTAGCTGACTTCTCTGCAAGCAGAAGAAACAAACATGACCACAGTGATGGGAAGATCGACAGTACTTTGCATGTCATCCTCACCATCATGTCTGAAAAGATGTCCCATGCGTAGGTCTTATAGAGGAGCCCCAGCTTACTGATGGCTACTTCCACCTCTCTGCGCAGAAGTCCAGGCATCAGTTCTTGCAGACTAGGTGGAGCTGGCAACCTGTTCAGATACTTCAGCAAAGCCTCCTCGTCATAGACATCTGGCATTGCTGCACAAGAATAAATGTGCAACTGAGACTATAAAATGTCTTCGGGATTTCAGAAAACAGTGTAACGTCAGTTTGTTTGAAACCTTGGTTTGTTTAAAAACAAAGGGGGTGGGGGTTAATATGACGGTATTTTCTGCATTTACTTATTTTTTTTCGCATTTACTAGTTTTGCAGTGTTGTTAGAGGAATTGTCTGTAAAGTCAACAACAACAAAAAAAAAATGTACCTGCCAGAAGGTTAAAAATTTTTCTTACAGTGTGGCAATGAAACTTTAGGACACCGTTTGTGCTACAGACATGAATGAAGCAGCTTGATGGACAAGAAAATCAGGGAAGAATCTTAAACTGGAGTGACCCAAGCAGTACCGCCGCTCCCTATACGCAGAGTATGCAGTTTGCATAGGGCACCAAGTCCCAGGGGGGCACCCGCATCCACACTCGCGACCGCTCGCACCTCATGTTTGCGGCTGAATGCAAATGATCATAATTGATGGATGGACATCTATGCCCGTGAAAAGACATCAGCAATCCGGTGCAGAGAGAAGAAAAAATAAATAAATTTTTTTAAACAAGGTTAAAACTAAGCCCGTGCATCACTTTCAGGCACATTCATAACCCTGTGAAACGTTTTTGGCTGTTGACGTTAATAACGTGTTTTAATGTCGGAAATAATTTCACCACAAATAACGCATCTAATATTCTCCCTGACTTTCCATGTTCCCTTATGAAAATTAGCCATGGTTTTAACAAACACCACCTAAAATAAAAAAAAATCATCTTGTAGCCATGGTAACCACAAATTAACCATGGTTTTGTTACTTGAAATAATAAATTTACAACGCATTAAGATAATTTGTGGTTATAAAAACAGACCTAAGCCAACAATAGCCTTTAAAATGACTCAATGCATTATATAAAAACAATAAGGCAATAATGATCGGTTAATAAAATTGTAGATACATAATGTAGGCTAATACAAAAGAAACTATTTATGTACATTACTTATTACAAATGCCTGCAAAGGGAGCCAAATGCCATGTAATTGCTGCTGCTACACTTACAGGACAATCATATCCTTGTTTAGGCTATTGCCAAAACATTTAATTCAAATATTCACTTAATATTTCATTTTTGGCCAGCTTTTTGCTAGCTATATATATATATATAGATAGATGACACAGCCTCTATAATTTCTTCAACAAAAAAAAAAAACATTTGTGGACATCACAACCCTTACAAAAATAAACCATGGTTTCACCGTAGTAAAACTGCTTCATTTACTTTTGCATGATTTCTGAATGCTTGAGACTATAAAATCAATCAGACAAAAGTATTAATAAAGTCATAGCCATAGGTAACCGTCTAGACTTGTAATTTGTAAATACAATTGATTTACTTATATTTTGTTAAAGTTCTATTTTGACCCCTATAGTATGTGTTGTTTTTTTTACTTCCATAATATTTGAGGAAGGGGGGCACAACAATACAATCCTGCTTAGGGCACCCATTTGACCAGCAGCGGCCCTGGACCCAGGTTATATATAGCAGGGGTGGCGAACTCCGGTCCTGGAGAGCCGCAGCCCTGCAGAGTTCAGCTCCAATCCTAATTAAAACTCACCTGCCTGTAGCTTCCTAGTAACTGTTCAGACCTTGATTAGTGTGTTCAGGTGTGTTTGATTAGGGTTGAAGCAAAACTCTGCAGGGCTGCGGCTCTCCAGGACCGACGTTCGCCACCCCTGATATATAGGGTTCAGGATATAGATTGCTGAAGCATTGACGTCAAAACCAGGAAGACTAATTTACCATTGGTTCCCTTGAGATTTTCTTTTGGGTTTTTCCAATTATGAAACAAGGTCTGTGGTAAACAAATTGACGATACTTGGACATTTTGCTCCACAACATATGTTTGCAAGAATTAAC